GAGATGCAATCCAAACCCAAAGCCACAGGAAAGGAAGATGAACACGAGGAGAAAGAGGAGTCAGGGAAGCCTCTATAAAGTTGCCGACATCAAAGCCCAAGCCTGGCAAATGGGCAGATTTTCCAGGAGAAATGTGAGGGAAGCATCCAGACTTGGATGCTAGAAACATACACAGGGATGAAGGGCCACAAAAAAGATACACACTAGAGCAGACGGTGAGACTGGGAGATAGCATAATAAATAGCTGTACATTTGGCTTACTGGACCATTTATGATTTTCTTAAGATATAAAATGGTAAAAGATGACAATGAACAAATAGGAATTAAGTCATGAGGCTCCTCAAAGTAGCCTGAACTTTATTTGATAGGTAATGAGAAATCACCCCAGGTTTGAAATCACCCTAGGTTTCCAAGCAGAGAAGTTCAGGATGATTTAGGAAGATGGCTGCTGAAACATAACGTAAGATGAAAGGGAGAGGGATGGAGAAGAAAATCTGAAGTATAATTATAACAGCTCAAGAAAAAGCAACCAGCCTGAGAGGCAATAGTAACGAAAAACTGAAAGAACAAGATTACAGAGGTAGACCTCAGAGGATTTAGCAACTTCTAGATCTGAGAGAAAGTAGAAATGCAGATGTCAGGGGTGGTTCACAAGTTTACATCTTAGGTTGCTGGAAAGACAATAGAACATCAGGAGAAAGAGATGAAAAAAGCAGCAGCTTTTGAAACGAGGAACAGGGGCAGGGAGATGGCTCAGTGGAGTAAGTGCTTCCCTGGCAAGCGCAAGGGCCTGAGTTCAATTCCTGGTTCTGCCACAAAACCAAAAAAACAAAACCAAAAACAAACAAACAAACAAACAAACAGGAACAGTTCATCACGCTGGAGGGATGAACAAAGATGCCTCTACTATTCCAAATCTGTAGAAATAAGAGAAAGATGGTAAAGTAAAAAAGGAACTAAGTGTTTCAGAGCTGGAAAATAAGAAGGGGTACAAAAGGTAGTAAAGGGAAAAATTAATGTTAAAAGCAAAAATTATTAAATAAATAACAAAAAAATAGAGATACTCTATAAAACCAAATGCTGGTCTCTGAAAATACCTATGAAACATACAGATCAATGGGACATGTCCTTGCAGAGGGTCAGTAGAGACATTACAGAACTCTACCACCATGAGCCCCAAAAAACCTTTTCTTTGTACATGGCATTTTGTTACAGTAACGGAAAACATTTTGTTGCAGATGCCACTAGCAATCTTGGGGCATGCTCTCTCCACTGTACTCTGTGCAGCAACAAATTCACAAACAACACGAAGTTAGAAGAAACCTAGAGAGGGATCGCATAAACATATCAGAAAGACACTGACAATCTCTTTAATTTTTATTTTTCCCATTTATGTAACTGGTACAGGGTCTCACTACACAGCTCAGACTTGTAGTAGTGATCCTCCCATTTTTCAGCCTCCCCAATGCTGGGATTATAGGCATGTGCCACCATGCCTGGACTGGCTCACCAGCTCAGAGTGCCCTGGGGGGCAGGGCCAACGCGGCATATGGGACTAGCAATCAAACCCTGGTCCCTGTGCTTGCCAAAGCAGGTGCTCAGTCTACTGAGCTATCTCACTGGCCCAACATCACCAATCTTAATTCAAGAAAAACAATAATGTTATCTTAAAAACTTAGGTTATAAGGCAACAATATGAATGGAAAGAATGGAAATAAACTCTTCTTTGCTTTCCTGTCTGGAGCAGCAGAGTAAACAAACAGACTGACTGATGTTACTGTGAATTTGAGTCCTAGGTTTCTCTCCAGGAAGCTAGAGCATGCTGTTACATTTTCAAGAAGGACGAAGGGCCTAAAGATGCCACTCATCTTTTTTATAAGCCAGGCTACAGGGCTTGCTGCATGCAGCCCCTCAGAAGGCTGCTACACCTTGGAAAATCTTGGAAGACCCACAGCCCTCCCCAGTCAGACTGTGGGGCAACTTTTACTTGGAAATGACTGAAAACACAGAGGATTCCACCCCTGCTCAGTTAGTGGGAAGGAGTCTGTGTGCTCCTGACTTTTAGTTGCTATTGGACACTGAACAGCTATAAGTACTAAGCATGTGAGTAGCCCAAACCCCAGGTATGGACATAAAACCCCTTTCAAGGGAACTTAGGAAGGGTAAACTTAAACCCACAACTTTGCCGGGGAGATGGCTCAATAGAATGGCAAGCGAAAGGGCCTGAGTTCAAGCCCTGGATCTTACCCCCCCCCTCAAAAAAAAAGAAAAAAACATTTAAGTCCACAACTTCTTAAGCAGAACTAAGAGATCAGGTGAACCAGAAGCTGTCAGCTTGATGTGACCATGGAGAGAAAAGGCTCCCAGGAAGTCAAGCTGCAGAATAAGCTGCCCTTATGTTCCGGCTCCACAAACTCAGACAACAACAGCAGCATTGGTGGTAGACTAGACCACCACATGGGCTTTCTGATCAGTCCCTATCAGACAGCTGCAACTTGGAGAAAAACCTGCTAATACGAAAACAGGCCTTGGGGACCACTGAAAAGCTGCTCAGATGGGTACGGTGGTACATACCTGTAATCCCAGCATTCTAGGAGAATAAGGCAGGAGGATCCTAAGTTCTAGCCCAGGCTGGGCAACTTAGTAAGAACCTCTCATAAAATTAAAAGGCATGCTAAAGGCACTATGAGCATGAACATAAAGTAATGTGCTACCTGCACTAAATACCAGGCAAAAGAAAGGGTATTTAACTACAGCCCAACTTCTGCTAAGGATTCATTATCAGTGGTTGCCAACCAGCTTCTGCCCCTGGTCACTTCACGCTAGAGCTGCAGGCCAGGAAATGAGACCATTACACTGTGGAGGGAGGCTCCATATCATGGGTACCCTGCCATGAGGGTGACTTCATCACTGCAGCTGCTATGGGGCAACGAACAAGGGAGGGCACAGAACAGATGCTCACTCCACGTTAAGTCTGCCCTTCCTGACCACACCGCCATCTGAGGGTGAGAGTCCCTCCTACTAGTCATGGCCTTAGCACTGCAGCATGAATGCCACAGCCTCTGCTCCAAAGGGCCAGCAATGGAAGGTTGAACAGAATGGGAGGGGTCTGAGGGACCAGAGGCGGAGACCCAGCAGACACACAAACTTGTCACTTCCTTCTCTCCCTGCAGCTCTGCCCCACAGCCTACACATCATCTGATGTCTGGGGAGGGCTGAGGCACAGCTTGGTTTTGCTTCTCTGAGATGTTTCCAAAACTAAAGAAAACAGCTGAGATTTGAAGACACAGACACAGAAGCACTCATGCTGAAGATCAGGAGAACCTCCAGGAATAACAGGAGACAGGGACAAGTGCCCTTGGTAGGACAACATAGGAATCTCAGGGGACCAAAGCCTGGTACCCGAATGTAAGGGCTCATCACACCTGTGCAGGGACTTTATTCTCTTTGTTTTCATGCTCTTCCTTCTGCTGCCTGTGTTCTTTCCATAGGTCTCCCTCTCCAAAGAACCCAAACTAAGAAGCAGCCAAGTGAGAATTCACACTAAAGCAGGCTGGCTCCTCCACCTGTGCTTTGAAAAAGTAAGAAGTGGTACAATTCATTTGGGACACTAACATCTGCAGCAATGAATAAGTGCAATGCACCAATATGTAGAGATGTTCATAATGTTAATAGAAAATGGTGAGAAAGAGTAACTTTTCTGTGGTAAAGCACACTTATATCCTGTAACACATGACTCCCCACACCAGACTAGAAATAGAATTAGAAAAATGCATGATCATGTAAAATGAAAGGACTTCAAGAAGAAAAATAAGGACAAGTCTTCTAGCAATCAAAGACATGAGCCTTGGAAGCATCTGAGAGTCACAGTATCTACAGGAGAGCAAATCCACATGTTGGCAGGGTAGACAGAGAACAAGTGGCATCAGTGGGGAAACCAGCAGAATGAGCCAGTTCTGGCCATGTAGACTGTCTCCTGAGTCTGTATAGTCTGCAAAATGCCTATCCTTGAAGGAGTTGACTTTTCACCTTGGAGTTCAAGTGTCTTAAGAACAATGAGCTTGACTCCCTGAAAATACTATTTAGGAATGGCTTCTGAGTTTCAGGATGGACGATGGTATAGGAATGGCTTCTTTCTCTATTTCTGGCATTACTGCAGCCCCTACTTCTTAAAGTTATGGTATTAGTTGGAAATAGTGATGCATAGTAATCCCAACATCCTGGGCAACTTACTGATTTAGCCAAGATTATGTGTTTAAAAAATATATGGGGTGGGGGGAGATGGCTCAGTGGAATAAGCGCTTCCCTGGCAAGTGCAAGGGCCTGAGTTCGAGCCCCAGTTCGGCAAAAATAAAATAAAATGTTGTATGCCTTTAAATATATATATTGGAAGGGGAGGAGAGGGGGAGGGGAGAGATGAGGGAGGGAAGGGAGATGGAAGGGAGGGGAGGGGAAAAAAGAGAAGAGAAGAGAGATTGCTTAGGCTTTCTTTTTTGTTTTTAGCTTTTTAAATTTTTTTGGTGTTTAGGACTAGACCAAGGGTCTCCCATTTAATAGACAAGCATTCTACCTCTGAGATAAAGCCCAGTCCCTCAAAATAAAAAACTGACAAAGGGGTGAGGGTGTACTTGTGTGAAGGCCCTGGATTCCCTCTCTATGCCCCCCAAATTGTAGCCTTATCATATACAAAAAAACCCCCAAACAAACCATACAAAAAAACCAAACAAACTCAAAGGTTTCAGTGGAAGTACAGAAAAATTACATAGATCTATCCCACAGAACTGGACCAAATCCTCCAATATTACTGGTAGCATTTGGGATGAGTTAAAACTGGCTATAAAAGGGAGGAAACAAGATACCAGCTAAGTAATAGTTAAATATACTACCTAATATATGTAGGCCAGTGGCAATACAGTACCAGTACAGAAAGATTACTTTCAATCTTTAAGAAAGGAGAGTTTTTATATTACTCTTACTTTTCTTAAAAGTCTTCTCCTTACCTTGGAGATGTAGCTAGTGAAGTGTATTTCCAATTTTCTTCAAACAGCTTTGACTTATGCTTCCATCTCATGAATTCCAAGACAGTATTAAACTGATGCATATTTTCATAAATCTGGGGTGGGGGAAAAAGTTATTTAAGAAAGAATTACTACTTATCAGAATAACATGTAAAAGCAAAACTAAAAGTATTTCATGTGTATAATTACACATTTGCCTAGTAAAGTCAGTGAAAAGTTTTTTTCATTTTTTTTTCCCCTATTGTATCATTCAGATTTTATTTACTCTTTCAAATTCTTATGATAGTGAGACAATACAGTGTTTTCACATGCAGGTCTGATTTTCAGTGAAAAGTTTTCAGAAACCCATCAATTTATCATTCTCCCAACCTCTGACCAATTTAGGTATTAAGTTAATTCTATGGGGGGAAAAGTAATCATCTATAAAATCTCCACATTAGCTTAACATTTTGAGGAATACAATATTCATCTCAATTTGGGCAAAAAATAAAAAGCAAAACAAAACAACAACTACTGGAAATTTATAATTCTACAACATTCAGATTCTTAGTTAGGCCAGAACATATTTAACTAATACTTAACTAGTTATCTCATTCCTCCACCCCTTTTTTTATAGCTAGTTTTAACTCATCCCAACTACTGTCAATAATATTGGAGGATTTAGTCCAATTCCATGATGGGGTACATTTATGCAAATTAATACTATCTCATGACCCTAATAGTTCATGTGACATTCACAATCTAAAAAGATGAAAACAATTTAAAATTTTAATTTATATCTTAATATATCATATATGGGATTTTTTTTAAAAAATTTCATTGAATATATCTTTTAACTAAAGCTTCATATTGCAAAGTATCGTTTCACTATTTTTTTATGTATTTAGTAGACAGTCTACAAGGTCTCACTACACAGATCAAACTCAGTGATCCTCCTGTTTTCAGCCTCCCAAGCACTGGGATTACGGGCGTGCACCACCAAGCCCAGTCTCAATCACCATCTCAGAGTGCCCTGGGGGTGGGGCTGGCACAATATACCAGGGACAGAACCCTGGTCCCTGTATCTGCCTAAGCAGGTGCTTTAATCTACTGAGCTATCTGTCTGGCCCTTTCTGTTTCACTATTTAAGGGCAAGTTTTATTCTCTTTTTTTTTTTGTGGGGGTGGGGTACCGGGAATCAAACTCAGGATTTCAAACCTTCCAGGCAGGCTCTGCACCCCTGAGCTACATCCCTGGCCCTATGGACAATTTTTAAAATAAGCACTACCTATATCCCACTGCAAAGTCAAATAGCTTTGTGTTAAAGATCCCTTACAAGTATCATGTGTGTCACACTGAGGTTCTGTGTCCTAGCAGTAATGACTAAACTTATATCAACTGATAAATGTTGAAAGTTAACAGCAACCTGAACCAGCTAGCACATCAGATGACAGTCTTTCCTCAGGACAAGAGTCTCCACCAGGCAGGCAAGCTGCAGAGACCAGCTCAATCTTTCCTGGTCTACATGGAGACCTGACCCTGAGAACAGTTAGGGTACTTTGCACCAGCACCTTCCAAAGCACCAGCTCCACACAAACTGACAGGTCACCACTAAGAAAAATGAGAAGGGCCGGGGAGATGGCTCAGTGGAATAAGCGCTTCCCTGGCAAGCACCAGGGTCTGAGTTCAATCCCCAGTTCCGCAAAAAAAAAAAAAGAAAAGAAAAGAAAAGAAAAGAAAAGAAAAATGAGAGAGGAAACAAACAGGGTGTGTGTGTGGGGGGTGAGGTTCCTCAATTTTTCTGTTACCTGAAATATTTACAATCTTAAAGAATCTCCCTTATATTAATAAAAAAATGCATTATGCTTCCATTTTAGAAATGGCGTAAAGATTTTTCACCAAAGCCATACTTTGCCAACATTATTCCTTCCTAAAGTGTGTGAAACACTGGGAAGAGCTAATCACTATATTAAACAAAATTCAGGTTAATCTATTCACATAAAAGTAAAGACAGTCCATTATATGCCTCCGTTTTAAATATACAGGGCAGGGAGTGATGACACACATATTAGGGAAGCAGGTGTAGGACTGCTACAAATTTAAGGCCAGCCTGGGTTACAAGTTCAAGGCCAGGCTAACTGCAAGGGAGACCCTGCCTAAACAAATAAAATGAAATGAAAATACATATACATGAAAGAATTTTCAACTATATCATCTTCAAAGTCCAAAATGCAAGACCATCTATTCTCCCTCCCTTTTCACATGTACAAACATTTAACAAACATCAGAAGACTTTATGGCACTTAGATTAACATACACAAGGCCTGAGTTCAATTCCCAGTATCACCAAAAGACAGAAGGAGAGAGGAAAGGGATGAGGAGGGAGCCCACAATACTCTAAGGAAGGTCAAGTAAGATTTGAGTTTATTACTCAGAGGTAAACAGTCAATGAGAGGAAAACATATGCTTTACAATATTGGTCTACAAATCTTTTGTCACACCCCAGACATTGTATAAATAAAGATCAGAATCTTTGCAATATGGTGCTACAGTAAAGACAAACCTATAAATCCATACATGCATGGGTACAGAATTTACATAGGTGAAATGTTTTCAAACACAACCTCAACCACTTAATTTACAGTGCACTTTGCCACAGGCTTTTTAGTACTAAGCTTGAGTTCAACAAACATAAGTGATGGTAATCAAAACCAAACACTAAATAAATTTAAGTAATGTTTTTTGTTACATTTTTACCTCTGAATTATCCAAGCATATTCACAGTAGAAAACATACTAAAAAGGAGGTAAGTCTTCTTAAAAACACACCTGAGCATCTTAATGACTTGGGACAAAAACTTCTAAACACAGTCAACATTTTCTAATTCAAACCTAACACTAGAATTTCCTTAAAGGTGGGCAGGCCAAATAGCTCAGCAGATTAAAGTGCCTGCAAGAAGGTTCACAGGCCAGGGGTTTGATCCCTGGGCCTGCTCTGCCAGCCCCATGCTGAGACAGCAATTAAGACTGGGTGTGGTGGTGCACGCCTGTAATCCCAGCAGTTGGGAGACCGTAAACAGGTGGATCACTACTTGAGTCTGACCTAGTAGTGAGATCCTGAACACCCTGTAGACCCTTCCCTAAAATACAAAAAGAATTTCCTTAAAGTTAATTATCTGAAAATAAATATTGAAAGTTATTTTCAGTCACACATCTCCTTTACAAAATAGCTTTTGCAGTCTATGACCATACTACCCTAACTTTCTCAGAAGTTAAGAGAGCTTGGGCCTGGCTAGTACTTAGATGGGAGACAAAATACTTTTCACTGCCACCAAAATATATATATTCCTCTTGGTTTTCAAAATTATTTAAATAGTTCAATCCCAAGTTCTGCAAAAAAAAAAAAAAAAAATTATTTAAATAGTTACATTTTGGACAGGGGGTAGTTCAGCAGAAGAATGTTTGCCTAGAATGTGCAAGGCATGTTTGCCTAGAATGTGCAAGGCACTGGGCTTAGTCTCCAGCACAGAAAACATAATTGGCACAGAAGCCATCAACTACAAGCATCCACAAAGTCAAAGTTACCTTTGACTCTGATATATTGGAATATCATCCACTAGTTCCTATATTTCATAATATTTGCTTTATAGACAAAATAAGGCATAAATATCCCCTTAATATATGTTGTGGTCAGGGGTTACAAGGTCACAGATTTACTATTAGACACATAATTTATAAAATTATTTTATAACATCTCCCCAAAAAGTAAAACGCAAAAAGACTGCTAGAGATCTGTCTGCACACTAGAGACTCAAAGAATCCAGCTGAGGGTCTGGATCCCACAGCAATGTCTTGCACAAGTTCAGCTAAAGACTTGAGCCCATGGCAATGTTCTCCGTGAGTCCAGCTAGAGGCCAAGGGCTCATGACAGTGTCTCATGCAAGTGTACACCAAGGATCTGCACTGGGAAAGCCTAAAGGCCAATGGTGGAAGCTAGAAAGTCTGCACCAGCAGGATGAAGCATCTGTGGCAGCTCGCTGAGGGATCTGCACTGGAGCCAGGAAGTAAGGACCAGAGGTCCCCCAAAGAGAACTGTAGGCATCCTCAGTGACTCTGAGGACCCAAACTCCTCTGAAGATGAGAACAGCTGAATCCATACTCACGAAAACCAGTGGGACCAGCTTCTCCAGGAGAATCAACCATACAACATCTTCCCCTCTAGTTCTCCTTATGCTGTTGGCAACAATGTTCACAGGTGGGCCTTCCATACCCAGAACCATGATGACTCAGTTCAGTTGGGTGTTACAAGTTGACCATTAGTTAATCCACCACAATATACTTGGTCCTTGTTTTTTTCTTTTGTTTTGTTTTTTGAGACAGGGTCTCACTACACAGTTGAGGCTGGACTTGAATTCACAGTGATCCTCCTGCCTCAGCCTCCTGGGTACTGGGATTATAGGCATGTACCACCATGCTCAGCAACTCAGTCTTAAACTAAAACTTGAGAATACTTTTAAGTTTGTAGCTAGTTGTAGTGGAATTCCTTGCATTTGGAAGAATGACTGATATTAAGTATAAATGTTTTTCTTTCTCCCACTCCTAAACCCTCTGTCCCTATCAGCATGCCTCCTCTCATCTTTGCACCCATAAAAAGCACTTGAGTTCAATACACTGTTTACTGTGTAAACACTACAGATGGATTTTTCAAAATCAGAACAAAAATGACAAATTATATTTTATAAACATTTCTGTTGTAATCTCAAAACAAAAGGCAGTATTGTAGTACCTTTAGTACATTAAGTAGAAAAAATATACTATAGAAAAACAACACAGTTTTAGCATTAAGTAACTCAAATGAACAATATAATTTAGGTCAGTTTACTACTCACTTGTAGCCACTTAACACAGAAAGGATCAGCTCATAAACAAGCTCTACTGTAAATATTTCAAAGTGCTAAGTTCATTTACTGATTGATTTTAAAACTCAAGATGACTTTTCTCAAATCCAAAGATACAGTGGTACTAAACATTTATTAAATAAACACATACATATATTTTAGTGTATAATTCTTCTGCTAAAGTTTATTTCCTCATCAAACTAAGTTTCTTGGG